GTTGGAGAGATGGCTCAGTGGTTAAAAGTAGATACTGCCTTCCACTCCAGCTCTAGGGGTCTGATGCCTCTGGTTTCCAAGGGAACTTGCACTCATGTTCACATACACATATTTTTAAAAAATTAAATTTTATTTTAAAAGATATTATTGGGGGCTAGAAAGATAGCTCAGTGGTTAAGAGCACTAGCTGCTCTTGCAGAGGACCCAGGTTTAGCTCCCAGCACCCACATGGTGGCTGAAAACCATCCATAACTCCAGTTCCAGGGGATCTGAGGCCCTGTTCTGACCTCCACAGGCATTGCATGACACAGGTGCACTTACATGCAGGCAATAAACTCATATGCATAAAATAAAAATAATAAAATATTAAAATAAATAAAAAACTATCATTGAATTTGGGCTGGTGAGATGGCTCAGTGGATGCTTGCCACCAAGTCTAATGACCTGAGTTCAATCCTCGATACACACTTGATGGAAGATGACAACCAATTGACTCCCAAAAGTTGCCTCACATGTAGACAGTGATGCACTCATGTGTGCACACACACACACACGAGTAAATAAATGTGATTTTAAAAAAGATATAATTCAGGGCTGGAGAGATGGCTCAGCGGTTAAGAGCACTGGTTGCTCTTACAGAAGACCAGGTTCAATTCCCAGCACCCACATGGCAGTTAACTTCTGTAACTCCAGTTCCAGAGAATCCAACGCTCTCTTTTGACCTCTGCAGGGATTGTACAACACAGGTGCACTTATATGCATGCAGGCAATACACTCATACACATAAAAAGTTGCAATGTTTTTTAAAAGATATAATTCAAATAATTTAAAAATCACTCTATTAAAGTGTATTAAACTGGCGGGTTTTTAGTATACTCACAAAGTTAAGCAAAAACATCATGATCTAATTCCAGAGCATTTTTATTATCTCAAAAGGAAAATCTCATACCTATTGGTAGTCACTGCTTGCCTGTTTTCCAGATCCTTTGCACCACTAAACTGTATTCTACAGATTTTCCTGTTCTGACCTGGTGTGGCTGGGCATGCCTGTAATTCTAGCACTGGGGAGGCTGAGGCAGGAGGATCACATTCTGTTCCATGTCAACCTGAGCTATATTGAGCTTAAGGACATCCTGGGATACATAACAAGACCTGTATAAAAAAAAACCTATTCTAGACATTTCATATAAATGAAATTATGCAATGTTACCGTGGGTTTTTTGTTTTGGGTTTTTGTTTGTTTTTGGTTTTTGTTTTTTTTGAGACAGGGTCTCCCTGTAGCCCCAGCTGACCTGGAACCGGATATGTAGATCAGGCTGGCCTCGATCTCAAAGAGATCTGCCTTTCACTTACCATTATGTTTTCAAGGTTTGTCTGTATTATAGAACTTAATTCCTTTTTATAGCTGAATAGTATTTCATGATATATATTATATTTTGTTTATCCATGCATTACTGATTGTCACTTGTCTTGTTTGCACTTTTTGGCTGTTATAGATAATGCTGCAATGAACATTCATATACAGGTTACAATGAACATTTGTGTATAAGTTATATTCAGGACAGCTCTTTTCAGTTCTTGCAGCTATATACCTAGTAGTGGAATTGCTAGATCAGGTATAAATTTATACTTAATTTTTTGAGGAACTTCCAATGTTTTCAAAGCAGCTGCACAATTTGACAATCCTATCAGCACTGTACTTATTTCTCTGTAACCTTGTCAATGCCTATTAATGTCTGCCTTTTTAATTTTAATTTTTATTATTTATTCAGTTAGTTGGGAGAGAAAGAGAGAGAGAGAGAGAGAGAGAGAGAGAGAGAGAGAGAGAGAGAGAGAGAGAGAATATTCACGGGTGGTTGTAGAGGACAAAAGAGAGCATCTGATCTCCTGGAGCTAGAGTTACAGGCAGTTGTGGGCCATCTGAGGTGGGTGCTGGAAGCCCACCTAGGGTCCTCTTCCAGAGCAGCAAGTACTCTGAGCAACAAGTGCTATTAACCTCTGAGCCATCTCTCCAGCCCCCATTGCCTGTCTCATTCATTCATTCATTCATTCATTCATTCAGAGACAGTGTCTCCCTTTAGCCCCAGCTGACCTGTTACTATGTACACCAGGCTGGCCTTAGTCTCACAGAAATTCTCTTGCCTCTGCTTCCTGAGTGCTGGAACTAAAGGCGTGCGCCAATAAACCCAGCCCCTGTCCTTTTCGTTATACTCATCTTGGTGAGTGTGAAGTGGTGTTTCTTTGTGGCTTTGATATACATTTTCTTGATAACTAATAATGTTGGATATCTTATCCTGTGCATATTGGTCATTTATATATCTTCTTTGGAAGAATGTATATTCATATTCTTTGTCCATTTTATACTAGTTTGCCAATTTTTTATTGACTTGTCAGTATTCTCACAATGCTGGAGATTGACGTTAGGTCCACATGAATTTTAGGCAAGGATTCTATCATCGAGTCACAGAGTTCTGATAAATTGATACTAGACCCTAATCACGTAAATGATTTGCAATTAGAGGAATCTTAATGAACTCGTTTGTTCCTAGTATAAGTGATCATCTTCCATCCTTCTTTATCCAACTCAGAAAATCTTCAAGCATTCTTTTTGTAGAGGACAGGAGCCTAGGAAAACTTAAAATCAAGACAGTGGTGCAATTTACATTGAGTAACTTCAATAATCCAAATATTAACACAAAATATCGTATTTTAAACAAAGACCTTAGTAAAGACAGCAGGAACTTATGGCTAGAAAAATACAAGATGCAAACCAATTGGAA